ATTTTCCTACTAGCTATAAGCTTAGTTCTATGATAGGTTGAAAAATATACTACAAGTTTTGAAGCATTAGTATTAACATCCGGTAACAGGCCAGCCAGAGCATGTATTTTTCCTGAAACTAAAATAGGAATAAGTACTTGGGATTGACAAATACGCCTCTTTTCTTCTTCAAGAGGAGGTTCTAGGAAATATTATTGATTTCCCATAATTTGAATACCTAGAATTTTGTGAACAGGAGGAAGAGTTGGTTGCTTCTTGGAGTCCTTATGGTTCTTGATCTTGGACGCCATTGATGATGAAAACTGAAAGAGATTTGAGTTTTCGTTTGAAGTTTACTTGAGAGAAGATGAAGCATTATTCTTATGCTTTATAGAGAAGAAGAGAGCTCAGGAGAGTGAAAAGTGAAAAAAGAAATGGAATGAAGTATTTATAGTGGAGAATGGAAAATGTTTCATTTCAGCCATTTTTAGCAGTTGTTGGGATCGTGGGGCACGTGTTGACTGGTTGTGGACTGATAGAACGGTTGCAGGTGGTAGCCCACTACCTCCTAGGAAATAGGAGTGCAACGATTGTCTTTTGGATTTCTACACATCTTGATGAGACCTCTGAAGTGGCGTGGTCATGATGACCATGACGTCACAACAGTAAAAATGTTTTAGTGTCGAAAAAGCTTAAAAAATGTCTTTTTCTCTTTATAATCGAAAATGACATTTTTAAGGGACAATTTGTTGGCTGGGATTTCGACACATATTAATGTTGGAAATAAGTCATGAAATTCAAAGATATATTATGAAAAAGAATGTGATGATTTCTACAGCAAATAATGATAAGAACATTTCGATGTATATGAAGATTTGAAATGAGTTATTAGAGTTTGAAGGATTATTCTGAGAAGGAATATTGTTTTCAACAGGAAAGTATTTGAAGACATAGTAGAAGAGATCTGTGCATGGAAAACGCTATGATCTAGGACTTCAAAAGATTTTTGGCCTAGATTGGAGTTCAACGATGCTCATTTGAAGAAGCGCTCGACATGTGCAATTCAAATTTGAGGCTAATAAATGTCTTTTGGCTTTATTGGTTTTCAAGACACGTGGAGAGCTTTGAAGTGACAAAATGCATGCAAATTGGAAACGTGGCGCTTTCTGGTGAAAAGACCGTTAGATAGCGGTTATTTTCGATTTAGTATAAATAAAGTCTTAGTAGTTAGGATTCGGTGTGTTCAGCTTGTACAAAAAACTCTAATTTTACTCTAAGTACCTGTGTGTGAGAAACACGTGTTCATGAGTGAAAATGTACGTATGAACATCACATTTTTACACTTTTTCCATATTATTTATGATTCCTATTTTAATTTACATTCGATGCAATTTAAGAGCTTGTCATTTACCTTAAAACTTTTACTTTGTAATCTTTACTTTTTTGTATTTCCTTAAAGAATTGCAACATTTTATTAGAACATTGTTGAAATGTTCATACTTAACAAACCCATAAACTAAATAACAACACATATATTAGGACACATATATTAGGATCAATCTAGTTGATCCTGTAAATAACCAAAGATTTAATAACTTTGAAAGACTAACGGTTGTTTATCAATTTTAACGATAAACAAGTACACCCTGCAATATGCCTGAAATCTTTAATGAAAATGGCTCTTTCGGACTTGAGAATGAGGGTAACTAATGCAAGGTTAAAAGCCTTATACATTCTCCCAACTAGCCTTAAGGAAAACATTAGCGTAACTGTCAATTCTTGAAGATTTCAAATCAAACCTATTATTATTATTATTATTATTATTATTATTATTATTATTATTATTATTATTATTATTATTATTATTATTATTATTATTATTATTATTATTATTATTATTATTATTATATGAAAAATATTTAAATAGACACAAATATAATAGGTAGTTTTATATACAATCAATCATAATTTTTTTATCAATTAAAAAATAAAAATAAAATATCATCTTTCCAATTAAAAAATAAATTAAAATTTAAATAAATTTAAAATGTTCTCTTCCTTTATTTATTATCTTTAAGAATGTGGATATAAATTTGTTTCCATGCAAATATTTCTCTTAATATAATTTAATATTTGAAGAAAATTTTATAAAAAGAAACATCGAAAATTTTAATGCTTCTTGTATTTAAGAATAAATATAATATTATTTTTAATGATAAAATTTTACCTTAGAATTTCTTAATAATGTACATGTTTTAATTTTTAAAGATTCAAGTTAACTTGACTATTTATAAAAAAATTCAATATATTAGAAATTGAAATTCTTAGAATTTGTTTGAATGAGTTGTAGTTTTAAGTTTTTAAAAAGTATTTTATAAATTATTTTAAAAAGAAGTTAAAAAAAACATGTTTACTAATTTTATTTTTAGAAATTATTTTAAAATTGTACAAAATTATAAAAATTGTCAATTAATAAAAATTTTACAAAACCAAATCAAATATGTCCTCAATTTAATTTTTTTTTTTGAATCATTTAACAAAATCCTATAATATTTGAATTATGGTTGATTATTTCATAATAAATACTATAAAATAATCTTTTAAAATAACAACCTTAAGCTATAAATAACAACAAACTTAATAACATCCATTAAAATCTAAACTAGCCACACTTCAAATTTATACTAATCCACAATTTATTTTTATTCAAATTATTTTCACAAGATAAACATACTAATTAATCAACAAACCTAATCAAAATCAAACCTAGTATAATTTAAAAAACCTATATAAACAAATAGGATTTGGCATTGTAGAACCCAAACCCACAAAGAACTAAGAGAGAGTCACAAGAAGCCAACCATCTTTCTCTTAATTCCATTCGTATAAATAATCCATCAAACTGTCGGTTTCCAAACATTCTTGATTTCATGGCATCCCAAGCCAGTCTTCTCCTTCAAAAACAGCTCAAAGGTAATAATAATTATTATTATATTAATAATAATAACCCTTTTCTCTTATTTTCGATTCTCTCTGCGATCTTGTTATTAACCCTTTTTTCTTCTCAGATCTTTGCAAACACCCTGTCGATGGCTTTTCTGCTGGTTTGGTCGATGAAGGCAATATTTTTGAATGGAGTGTCACCATAATTGGACCCCCTGATACTCTCTAGTAATTCAATCTCACTTTTTTTTTCCAATTTGTTTTTTTTTTTTTGGCTTTTTCTTTCTTTTAGGTTTGTTTTTGTTTTTTTCTATTTATTTAATGATGATCATGAGAATTTGTTAAGGTTGTTTCTTTTTGTTTAGTGGTTGTGGTTCTTGTTGAATATGATGCTTTCCTAACTTGTTTGTTGTTTTTTTCATGCTGTTAACTATTTGGATCGGTCTATGTCTTGGTTTCAAACATTTATATTCACTGTCCACCAACTATTTGTGATATTGTTTGGGTTGATTTGATTGTAATAGATTGTAATTGTACTTGATTCTTAGGTTTCTGAAAATGTACTTGCATAGGTTTTGCTAATTATTAGTTTTTTTGTTTTGTTTTGTTTGTTTTCTATGTAGCACTGGAATTTTACTGACTTATCTCTGTTGTTTTGTTTGTCAATTTGTTGGATTTTTTGTTATAGTGAGGGAGGTTTTTTCAATGCGATCATGAGTTTTCCTTCCAATTATCCAAATAGTCCACCGTCGGTGAAATTCACATCAGAGATATGGCACCCTAATGGTTGGTTTTTTTTTTGTCTATTTTGTGATTTTGGTTTGATTTTGTTAGCTACGCGCAACTGAAGTTTTTGGGTTTGATTTGCAGTATATCCTGATGGCCGGGTTTGCATATCGATCCTCCATCCTCCTGGTGATGATCCTAATGGTTATGAGCTTGCAAGTGAGCGCTGGACACCTGTTCATACGGTATGTGATATTATAACCATACACTTTGTTTTTGTATCTTTTCTCAGATGGTAGGGGGTCGTTTTGTATGATAAGCATTTTACTCTTCGTTGTTGAACCTATTAGTATTGTAAGTTTATCTTCAATACCTTTAGTTTGAATATGCTATTTTTTCATAATTCCATAATGTCAAAAAAAGTGCATCTTGGAAATTGCAGATTCTGCGATAAAGTACTCTACGGCTCATTTTATGTCCTTTTTCATTGCGTAAATGGACTTGCTGCATATTAAAATTTCCAATTTATTACTAATGTTGAAGACTGGTGTGGTATAAGATTAGTAGCATTATAACAATACACATAGAGCTATCGACAATGTCGAGCTACTAGGTTGTATCTTTTATATTTACTATTACTTTCAAAGTGTAAGTAGAGCGAAAGGCTTAGTCATTAGTTATTTTTTAATGAAGAACTACAAAGTGAAAGACCAGAGTTGAATCAAGAGTTCAGTTTTCCAGCGTAATGTATCAAATGTGATAGCTTTAAAATGTTTGTAATGTCTTGAAAGTTGGGTTTAAAGTTTCACTGGCTTTCCATTAATTACTTGCTGGGTCTGTCCTAGGAAATCGTATGCCACTTCATGTTTGCCGTTTGTGATGTTATGTACTTGCTATTCGCAAAACTATTCACTAATGAAATTTTATATGTACTAAATAATTGTATGTTATCTTGCAGGTAGAGAGTATAGTATTGAGTATCATCTCAATGCTTTCTGGTCCTAATGACGAATCTCCTGCAAATGTTGAAGCTGCAGTAAGTTCGATAATCAATTTTACTTAATTGACTGTTTTATTGCAACCTACATTCTTTCGTTTCGTAGATTATTACTTATTTGTATCTTAGAAAACATAGGCATCTTAACAATAGGGTGTTAGTAGGGTGATACTGAGATGTTGCATTGCACAATACCATGTACTTATACAATACTTCAAGAATTTGTAATTAGAAGTGAACAAGAAGTTCTTCTTTTCGGTATTGATGATTTTACATGAGTTGCTAAATGCAGTGGCATAATTTTATGGTTTAGTTGTAGTGTCTAACCATTTTTTATATACCTATTGTTCTGGGAATCCTTGCTTTCTAATATTCACACTGGTTTTCTGAATAACTGATTTAACTTCCTTGCATTGGGCTGCACAAGTGCTTTAGTCTTGATAGTTTTTCTTAATTACTAGTTTGATCTTATTGGACCTATATTTGATTTAATTTGCAGAAGGAGTGGAGAGATAGCAGAGATGAATTCAGGAAGAAGGTTGGCCGATGTGTAAGGAAGTCACAAGAAATGTTGTGATTTGTCGCCTGTTAGAATGGCTTTTTTGGAAGTTGGCCACACTATACTTTATATTTTCTTCAGTTCCATATGTTAGGAATTGAAACAAACTGTATTCTAAGTGCTTTGGTCTGGTGGTTTGACATGGAAAATTTACTTTGTTCATTTGCATAACTTTTTTTTTTGTTTACTTTTAATGAGTTGAAAATAGGTGCATTCTTTTGGTCTTTTCCGCTTAATATTGTGATATCTGGTTTCTGCATTCTGAGGTTTTGCTGATTGCTTGATTCCATTTCATTTCATATTTTTGGAATCAGGAAGACCCTTCACCGTTTAACTTTTTTTAATATTTCAGATCATGATCTTGTTAACAAGTGTTCCAAGTACATTAACTAAAGAAATTAAAAATTAGAGTTTTGTATTGAAAATGACAATCTTTAAATTTCTGAATATTTGAATACATCACCCTCCACACCACATTTTTATATAAGTTTCTTGAAAATGCGCGTTAAGGATTATCATAAGCATTATTTTAATTTCACTAAACTCAGCGTCTTAACACTAAGTAATTTTATAAGGTCTTCAATAAAAAAAATCATCACTATGACGTCCAACTTGATTTTTGCCCCCGAGTTGGTCTTTATCATTCTGTTGAGTTTTAAATATAAATAATTTCTTCCTTTATAAAATCAACAAAACAGTCCTTTATATTTCAATACATATGAATTTATTATTATTATGTATGTTTATATAATGGCGATCGGATTGGAGACAATTTTTTCCTCATTCTCCAATTTTTATCTCCTTCAAATGCAAATCTGAATCTCAAATTTAATTGGAGATTAAGAATTAAATTTAATTGAAGATTAAGAATTAACATTCAAATCTGTGTTAGGTTGCCCTACCACCATTTATTTATAAAATTAAAATTATTAAATAAAAATAATTTTATGTACATATTTCAAATATTATTTTAAATAATATTCCTACCATCATTTATTTAATAAAATTAAAATAAAATTACATATAAAATAAAAATAATTTTATGTATATATTTCAAATATTATTTTAAATAATATTCCTACCACAATTTATTTAATAAAATTAAAATAAAATTACATATAAAACAAAAATAGTTTTATGCACATATAATAAATATTATTTTAAATGATAAATATAAATTAAAATATCAAAATATTAATCACCTATTTAATATTTTAAATTATAAAACTAAAATAATAAAACTCATATTAAAATAATAAAACACATAATAAAGTAAATAGAAAATAAATAGAACAGAGTGAAATAGATACTAATGTTCTTAGTAATGCTCTTATTATCCTAATGTTTTCATTATCCCATCTGTCCTCATATTTTTTAATGAGAAAAAATCAACTCAAATCCAATCAAAAGAGATTTTTCCTTTAGAGAACTTGGATACCTTTTAAACCAAAAAAAAAAAAAAAAAACTCTAGCCCCAAAAATACCATGCAACATAAATCATTGAATTGGAAAATTCATATATTATTGCATTAACTTATATATGTTATAGTTTGTTGATACATATACAGAAAAAAAAAAACAAGCATAATACTAGTAGAATATTATGGCAATTGCTGCTATGTCCGTGTCCTGCTTTATTAATCTAATTTTGCTGGCTTCACGTGACTTCCCATTCTGATCACGATACCATCAATATCTCTCACGTACCCAACCTTCTGTCCCCACTCCTTCACCTCCGGCACGCTCACCGACACCGCCCCATTCTCCACCGCCCTCTGTCCCATTAAATACAAAATCAATCAATCCACCATGCAATAAATAATTTACTAAATTCTAAACCATATAATTAATGATAACTATTACTATAATTAAATATTGATTAACAATAGATTTGATTAACCTACCTTGTAAGCAGCATCGACATCATGGTAAACGAAACAAACTTCAACCGGTGGTCGTTCTTGTTTAGATTTAGTCGCGTGGACAGCGGCTGTGAGATCATCGGTCTCGTGCTGGTGGATTGGAGTGAAAGCAATCGTTGTGGTTCCGCTTTCCAATTCTCCCCATCTGAGATGCAAAATTCACAATTAAATCATAAGTTATGATGCACCGATGCCAAAAACACGACATTGACACATTTTGGTATTAGAACCTAGAGCCTGATACATGAAAGAAATGAATATCTACCTATGGGATTCGTCTAAGCGACGAACGGAATAACCGAAGGCTTTGGCATAGAAAGCTACGGACTGAGCAACGTCTTTTACGTAAAGAACTGTGTAAGCATACGCTGGGCTGAGATTCGACGACGCCATTGATTGGTGATTTTGATTTGATTGTTGTCTTTGTTCTTCGTCATATACCATTCATGTATTGTTGCAGTTTAGGTATTCTGATCGGTAGAGCGAGTCAATTTTCAAGGATGATCGTGTACGTGGAGATTCATCAGGAGTCACACGTGGAGTTCATGCACGTTGTCACTTGTTCTACAATTTTGTCTTCATTTTACTTCCAGTTTCTATTCATGTCTGATTTTTGGTCCTTTTAAAAATAAATAAAAAATATTCAAACATTGACTAACTTAAATTTGAAATGATAAAAAAAAATTTATTTATTTATTTTTCTTAATGAAATAAAATTATTTTATCTTAAAGTTAAACTAGCTAGCATAATAAAATCAAAATTTTAATTATTTAATAAATATAAAATGAGTATATTTTATATTTTCTTAAATTATATTTATAGTTAATTTAATTCCTTTTAGAGTATATTTTTTTTTATCTAAAATAATAAATATGATATATGAATTAAATTAATTAATTAATTTAATTCAACTTGTTAAATTTTATTATTGCATCTTTTTTAATTTTTATATTTTTGGTAGAAAATTATATTTCTTACTTAAATTAACAATAAATATGATATATGAATTTAATGCCATTAAAAAACAATAGAGTAAAAAAATATAGTGTTTAGTTAGAACTAAAAAAGATTAGCCTTCCAACATTTAAGTTAGTGAGAGAAATGAAAATTTATGTGTGAGCGAAAGAATTTAAATATCTGAAATAACGTCTTTTACCTTTATATATCAAGAGCAGTTGAAACTGTTTCGAGTGATGTGTCATGTGGATAACTATTTGATTAAATTGAAAAGTGATTGATGCGTGCGTTAGAGGGTGAAATCGTTTGCTTTTGGTCAATGTGAAGGTTCATCTGTTTCATGGGCTTTTATACTTGGAGTTCACTCTTTGACCTTTCATCATGAGCCTTGCAGGTGACCTAGAACAGTTGCCTCCCAAATCCTTATTCCTATTTATAGAATGAGGGATTCACTGCGCACACCTGGCTGGCTATTAGCCGGAGTAAGTGAAGAGTACTGACGAGACATCATCAGCATTAGGAACAAATGCATTATATGTTTTTATCTTAATCTACGATATTTTATAGGGAGTCCTGACACGTGTCTCTCTGTCTATTAATAATAATTTCTTTATGTATTTGGATACTTAAGTACTTTGAACAGTTCACAATGAGATATCGATCATTGATGGTGTTGTTCGTGTTTTACAATATAATGGATCGCACAGTTCATCCTTATTGGGTCATATATAAGGAGTTCTAGAGTTACTAGTGTTTCTTTCTTTGTCATTTGTGAATTTCTTTCACATGCGACTTCTTCTTTTGTGATCACTCTTTTTACATTATTCTTTATATCGGACCTATTTGCACCGCTCATTTTGGGAGCATCTACAACACATAGGCCATCAACTTTGTTCATTCGAGGTAACACTCCTACCTCATTTTTCCCTCTATTTTTTCTTTCTTCATTAGGGATTTTGGAGATGAGGGTTAAGGGATTTCTAGTCTTTCCATTATGTATTTTGATAAACCTCTTTTCCATAGTTTTACTTTTATAGAGATGCCATATTTATCTTTAAATCTACTTTAGAATACTACTCGTATTTATTTCTTTTTATGTGTTGGAAAAACCCTTTATAATGGAGAACTATTCAACGTGAACCCAAAAAGTGACTAGGGATAACTCGGTGATGCAGGTGGATCAAGAGACGTTAGATATTGCCTCTGTTATTGTGGGTGAGGGTGGCTTGGACTATGACTTTGTCGAGGTGGGATCTTCTTCATATTGAGGTGTTTCCTCCTTAAGATAAGTGAATCTGTAGAATATAAGATGGGTGTGTCATTCCTCTTCATGAATGTCTATTTTTTTTATAGGTTCCCAACTTCCTCTCAATGACGTTAAGGTTGGTGTTCTTAATCATTTACTAATTATTTTTTTCCAATTTCATCGAGTGAGTCGGACTTACATCAAATTTTTTGAATATCGATGTGAGTATATGAAGGGAGTTTCAACCGTGATTTTCTTCCATATTTTTAAAGCTCAACACAACTTCGTTGATCCAGTGTAGGGGTTAAGGTGTGATATCTCTCAAGCAGTGTACCAAGATGTTCAACATTTACTTGAAGAGTTGGAAGAATTTCAAGAACTCATACTACTTGGTTACTCCTCTCACAAAGATGACTCATACTAAACTATGTACCTATTGTTTCTTTGATTGGTTGTTTTAGGTAAAACAACATGCTCAACACAAGATGTAAAATGTGAATAGGTATCATGTGGGACAAAATGTTTCAGTGTGAGTGTAACATCTGACATCAGTCTGTATGTTAGGTTAAATGGGTAAATTTATGTGTGTGTTTGATTGGTTTTAAGGATATTTGTCATTTATGAGTTTTATCTTATAGCAATATGTTTTTTTAAGGAAGGGTGGCTGAAAAATTTGTCCAAGACCTAATAAAATTAAATGAGATCAAATCTCTTGGTGGATATTAATGTATAGGAAATCAAATTTGCATCTAAATCAAATCTACATTAAAATCAAATATATTGCTATCAGTTTAAATGTCCATTGAAGAAAATCTCATCAGATGAACTTTATATAAAGACTCGTCCTAACAACAAAAGAAAGACGTGCAAGAATTGAAGATCTAATGTGTTAGAGTTTGATATTTGAGTCTTTGTACTTGTTGTTATTTGTGCACCTCTATAGCGTCTAAGTTCCATATCAAAGGTATAAAGGTTGTTTTTTTAATTGAGTTGTAATTCGACAATCTTTAAACATATTTTATGTATTGATCACTAGGGTTAATGATTAAAATAAAGTGAGAGGGTTCTCATATTTAGGGGGAGTTCTAAATAGAAATACACAGGTAGCATTAGAGGCATTGAACAATGTTTGCTCATCTCAGATTAATTTTACTAATACTATTGAGAATGAATTTCCTTTCTTGGATTGGAATCCTCCCAAGCGTAGATGACGTTGCACAAAACTGAGTTAACAATCCATTGTGTTATTTATTACTTTATGATTTATTTCACATTAATTGTTAATATGTTCTAAGAAAGTTATACACATTTTCCCAGACATTATGTATAACATTTGTCCTGCAAATCGACCAGAATTACAATTTGCATTAGAGCAGGCACCTTGTTCTGTTTGGGTGAGCTCCAAGAAAAGTATATTTTGTTCAAATAGACAATACTAATGAATTTCTAATGCTCATTTGGGATGGTTTGAGTGTTGGTATTAAATGCTCCACCTTGTTGATCAGCTAGCTGCTTGGCTATCTAACTAACTTGAGCTTATAGATTTTTAATTGATGTGAAAATATTCTTTAGATTTTCTATAGACAACTGTATAGACTGGTTCATAGTATCCTCCAATTTTGAAATTATGTCTTATTGTGGAGGAGTTTAAATATAATTCAGGTATGTCTACTCTCTATTGGATGGTCTTGCAAGTTGTCTTCATCCTTAATTGTAATTTGAGTTGTTGTTTTGATATTTCCATGGTCTTTGTTGGTTTCCTAAAATTTTTACCTCTTCATCTGGCAGTGGGCAATATCCTTTGGGTATATCTTTAGGGAAAAGCTCACAATAAAACTACTCACATGTGTTTAGGCATTTCTTGCATTTCTTTTTTGAAGCTTTGACAATTACTTTGTTGGTTTAAATAATTACACATATGCACATATATGAACATTTGTACAATAATACTTAAAATGATAAAAATTATCACAATGCTTTTAATATCTAAACGCCAGTCCCCGACAATGACACAATTATATATAATAGTAACAAAAATAAGTATTTGCGTTTATCATTTCCATAAAGACTGATGCAATATTTAAAATCCGTTCAATAATCTCTATAATTTTAATTAAAGAATTTGAAATGTTTGTTTGATAACTAAGTTAAAGTGACCATGTATGAAAACAAGATTTAACATATGAAATTGAGATTAGTGGGGTTAGAATTTATTATCATACCCTCATGCATTTTCTTGATCAGTTATAGATATTATTGACCATCATTTAATATTATCTCATATCTCTCTGGCTGCGTATGTTATTTATGTCTAAACAACAACGTGAAATAAATATTATTGCTTAACTGATGATTTCTCATTCGGTTAACCAATACGATAACATTAAGCTTTGATAGTATATGTGAATGCTAGACCTAAATTCGTGTCCATGGTTTACCATATGTTAGATGAAAATATTTGATCTAGTTAAGAAAAATATCTCCTATTATCAATTCAAAATCATTATAATAAGTTAGCAAATTCATAACAATCATTAAGAACAAAAGATATGGAATAACATTGACGATAATTTCTCAAATCGGACAGAGCCTCCACCTTCGATTCTTCAATGCCTCTCTTAGGATTTATCCCTCTTAATTCTCTCTTGTTCTATTTTGAGATGTGGAATGAAAATAACTTGATTTTTCCAATGAATTGGTTGTGACCTCTATTTATAGAGTTCTAAGTAGGAGATTTCTCCCAACGAGGTCTTTAGCCTACCTAACGATCTTACTTTTCTTCATCAGTAAGTCATATACAACTCATCCAAGAGAATTTTGACCACCTTATCTCGCCCATCGAGCCTACTTATTTTCCAGGAAAGTAAACATTTCCTTCACTCTTAAATTACTTAGTAAAAAAGTTTCTAAACCACCTTGTTTCTCCCAATGGGTTTGTCACATTTCCTAGCGAGTTGTCTTGCTTATGCATGGAATTCACATATTCTGCAAGGTCTCTATAATATGGGGTGACTGCATGAAATTCACCAAAGATGATCCCTAATTAAAAACCATATCACCACTCACAAGATCTATAGGCGTTAGTAACTAGTTTCTCTATGTTCCCTCGAAATTTGATTAAGTCCTTTAGAGAGGAGAATCCGAGCTTTCAAAACCATTTTTTGTTACACTTATTCATTAAATCATTTG